ATCCCAACCAGTTGATATCAATTTAATTCCTAAGAGTTATGTACTTGTTTCGAGTATCTAATGTAGAAGTTATAACCAAGTTCACTTTACGAAACGGTCTTAATGAATGATATACTGAACGTATGTCCTCTTGATATATGTAACTCTTTGTAACTGACCGAATATACCTTTTGTATTCTGATAACCCTCTCGATAAGATGTGAAGTCACTGCCTTCTAGTTGAGAGAACCCTGACCACTACTCCACTGTTCAACTGTTTAAGTAAAATTGAAAACATATTGTGCTGCAGTCAAACTTAGACATGGGAAAATAAGAAAGGCAAGGATGCTGTTTAATCCATTTTACTCACTTTGTCACTAATAACTAACAGATCTCATCCAGGTGGTCAAAGCATGACTGAGCATTTATCCTTTGTGTCCAAAAGTGATTTACAACTTTCCATTCATGTCTGTGGTATACTGTAAAAGAGGTGGACATTTTGTTTCAAGTTTCAAAAACAGAGGTGAATCTAGGGTGAGGAATTAACTTTATTTTTATGTCAGTCATTCTTTCCGAACATAGGAATCTGGAACATACTGCTCCACCAAGCAGATGAATTATGTAGCAGGAGATAAATGTTAAAGATTAGTTAAATGGCCTCACCTAGTTTTTAACTCTATTGTCTATTTATGTTCATGAAAAACAATAAATCTATTTTCTCCCAGAGAGAATATGCATTAGTCCTGACACCCTTCTACTGTTTCTTTTATAAGGATCAAGAACCTCCATGCCCAGATCATTGAGAAAGATGCCATGATAAAAGTTCTTCAACAACGGTCACGGAAGGAGCCCAACAAATCGGAGACAGCCTCTGCTATGAGACCATCCAAATCGCTGATGTCCATCGCCAACACCGGAGGCCCTGGTTTGCTTTCCCACTCTCTAACTCTCAGCAGCAGCCCCATTACTGAGGAGAAGAAGGATGACAGGAGCTGGAAAGGGAGTCTAGGTAAGAAACCCCGTCCTTCACATTTTCCTTAGTGACAATCGTGAGTTAGCGACAGTCCTTTCACCTCAAGTGTAATAGAATGTAAAAATCAAACCTGTACATAGAAACTGTACTGACAGTAATTCCACTGGATCTACTGACCTGTAGGTCAGCCTTTAATGTTTTATACTTATTAGTACCATTATAATTATTTTAACAGACTTCAGCTTGATTGTAGCTTTAAATTAGATGTCCTTTTTGAGAGAGATTTCTCTAGCCAATAAACCTTGAAAACCCCCATCCAATGTGAGTATGCTGTAAAGACATAAGACTCAGTTAAATGCTTCTGTTTTTTCACGAAGTAAAGCAAAACGACATATTTAGGCAAATGATGTCCCATAATTACAGTGGAAATACGGAGTGTTTGGAACCATAAGAGCATAATCTTCACCCATGCATCTTAAAGTGGGAAGAAGAATTAATAGAATATAGTGAGGTTAGAGACTGTAAATTAGACTAAAAGTATTTCACTTCTAGTTAACCAAATACAGTAAGGGAGTCCTATTATAAGTCCCTATTCCTAAATAATTAAATTTTATAGCTAAATTAGGAGCATAAATGTCCATAGGGAATAATGTAATTAGCTTTAGATACATTTACAACATAAAGTTTAGATAAGGGTGTATACATTTAATTTACCCATAAAAATAATAAAAAAATAAATTGCATCACCAACAAGTTTCGAATTGTGGTCTCATCAAAACCAACAAAGTTTTTTGCTGCTTCAAGTTACATTTTTTTCTACACATTGTTCATGCATTTAATATTAGCCATCACATCTTAATCTGTTGGATCAGTCATGTACTGCATGGTGGTAAGAATTCAACTTTAATATTGGGGAATAGTGGTACTTATATAAGTCGCGTGTAACAGCATTGTCTACAAGAAGAATACATTTTAATGTTAGATTTTGTTCTTCACTATTTTTCAATTCTGGAAGAAAATAATCCACAAACTACCTACATTGTTAGCATTTGGTGCTGTGGGAAATGACGCCAAGTACTGAGATGTTTTATGTTGTGTTCCTTAATTCATCACCCTCAGTGTGATGTGATGTATAGTGGGGCAGTTTATACTATTAACAATTATAATACTGTAATTTTATGAGCATTTAAATGAATATGCCTTCTGTCTAATGCTCAAACACTGTGACTTTGTCTTATGTAACTGTGCAGGTTACATGTAGATTTTATTGCTGTGCACAAAGAAGGCTTCACATGTGAAGTAAAAGCATTATGTTCTTAGCATAATGTTTAGGCTGGTGCTTTTTGTTTGTTATTACTTCAGTAATGTGTTTAACTACCAAATGTATTATAGTTAAAAATCATCAGTGCATTTAAAGAAGTAGTTAACTTATCAAAGACTTTGAGAATTGTATTTACTTTTTTTAAGCAAGATAATCCAGCATTAAAAAAATTTGTTTGCAAAATTTAGTTTAACTGGTATTCATTTTATGTTCAAGTGAGAGTTGATATTTTCTTCAAGTGTTTAATTTTAATATAAAATTCAAATATTCGTTGATGCCATTAAAAAAACGAGCTACATGAGGTAAAAGAATCCACATATAGTAGCTTTCAGATGGCTTCTTTTCCTGGTTCAGGTGTGCTGCTCGGACCAGAGTTCCGGACTGAATCCTTGCGGAATGAATCCATCTCCTCCTCACCCTCTCCTGTGCTCCCCTCTACCCCCATGATGTCTGGGCACTCCAAGACAGGCAGTCGAGACAGTAGCACCCAGACAGACAAAGGCAATGAGAGCAGCAAACCCACAACCCCTGCTCTGCCCACAACCCCCGCTCTGCCAGCAGTCCAGCCCAGATTGACAAGCCCAAGCCCAGTCTACATTCCAGACAGGATAGCAGGTACAGTATATAACAGATTAAAAGGATAGGAAACTCCATTTAACAGTTTTATCATGACAAAAGTATATTTCCGAATACACATTGTCAGGACTACTGATTTAGTAACACTTGATTCAACATTACTGAAATACATGTTACTAGAAGCCTTCTGAAATTCACATTTATACTTCAAGGGCTCTTAGAAACTTAAACCATGCAGAGCCATTCAAAATAGGCTTTTGTGTTCCTCAAATCGGAAAATTGCTGACATTAAAAATTCTCTTTGCAGAGATGCCAGTGTTCCACAGCAGCACTTTGGAGAGAAGAGCCCCAGTCCAGTCTCCCACACAGGATGTGGACAGTGAGATGGTGGAAATTCTCATTTAAACATGGAATTGGCTATATTCAAGACCTTAATTCTCAACTTGGCCAAGGAGGACTTCTTACATTACAAAAGCTAATGTTTGTACAGTAAACAGATGAATAGTTCAAAACAGGTGAAGGATTTTCTTGATGGGTTATGTCAGAATGAGGATAAGCTTGAATGCACTACTTATAAGCATTGTTTTCATTAAGAATCCGTGTATAGTGAGTTAACAAACATTAGATATGCATTAGTATACTGTATTGTACAGTATTGTTTCGGGTATTTATTACCCCCATTGGACCAAATTTGTCTGCTACCTTTTTTCATCTTTTGCACTACTTTGTATGTATTAACATGTATTTTCTCCAAACATTAGTAGCTTTAGTAGCATTCTATTTATAAGCAGGTTTTATTTACAATTATTTCACAAGGCACTTGGGTAGCAAACATGACTTTTATAGATAAAATACTTTTGTAGGAAAAATATTAAACCTGTAAATACTGTACAATGATACCGTAGGGCAGGTCTAGTGCCTTGAGTCATTTTTTCATACATACCATATTGATATTGACAAATTAATACTGTCTTTAAGTGAATAGAATTGAAATATAGTCAACACAAGAAACTGCCTGCTCTGGACCATACAGTAAATGATCAATCAGTATGTGTGCTTTTATCGGATAATTGGAAGATTTCTGTGATTGTGGTGTTTGTTTAGAGATCCCACTGGCTTGGGATCAATCTTGGTGTTTCATAAATAGAATATAGCAAGGGTTATTTGGGAAGGAGGGGAGTTGCATAACTTGAGCATAAAAACATATTGATCTAATGAATGTGGTAAACAGACTTTTAAACTTCTAAAGCATTCCATAAAAATGTGTGACGATTTCAAGATAAAAGGATTTTCTTAAGATAAATCAGTTAAGTCTTTACAGTTTGCAGCCCAAATTACTATATTTTAATATTATCAATATCTATTAACTGTTTCTAAGGCCACATTTTCTAAGTAATAAGCAAAAGACTTGTGGTCTGGTTAGAAATGTGTAAAAGTAGGAGAATGTTAACTCCTCTCACATTCTAGGGGACAAAAAGCATTTCAAATGCAAGTGTGTCACTGCCATGATTTTGTAATGGATAGAACAGTATTAAGAATTCAAACAATTTCAGAATTACAGACTTTTAAAATAATATGTAATCTATCCCACGCTCAAACACTGTGATGACTTTGTCTTCTGCAACTTTGCATGTTAAAATAGTTTTTGTTCTAATGCACAAAGAAGACTTCAGATATGAAGTAAAAGTGTTATGTTTTTATCATAATATTTAGGCTGATGCTTCCTGTCTGTTATGACTGTAATGTGTTACAACTACCAAATGTGTTAGTCTATGGTCAAATACTTCCTATGCCTCTGAAAAGCTACCACATATTTAAGTCCAGTATTAAAATCTTATTCTAGTTTGCTATAAACAGAATCTAGAGCAGAGTGTCGACTGACTGTTCTGCGTTGTTTAAAACATGGCATATATCCAGTCCTTCTTATGAAAGTGGTACTTGTACTTCCATTTTTTTATGCTCAAGAGAAGTACCATATGAAAATGCATTAGCATTCTTCTCTTAGAATGTGAAAAGAGAAATGTTGCTTGAGTTCAAGTAGAATCTTGTTTTTGAGTGTTTTAGAGGCTGTTTTTTTCATCAAAATATAACCTCATGTGACAGTTGATACAATATATGAATTACGTTACACACATTTCAGTCTGAGACACTTCTAGTGGCTTTAGAGTAAGTCCACCTCTTACAAATCCCCTGTGATTGTCTTTTCTTTTTGGGTAGCTAAAACATGTACTTCCTCTATACTTCATTTTGTGTCTGAAGAATTTTAACTGTTCTTTCATTTTAAAAAATACAGTGTACTGTAAATAGCATACTTAGCAGGAATGTATTGTCCTGTAAGTAAATGGAGGTGTGCTATTTTCTTATAGTGGTCATTTCTCTTGTAGATATTATACATTATTTGATATACTTTTTTAACAGTGTTTAATGTCTGATTAACAATGTACAGTTCATTGTTCATCACACAAAAGTGAATTGCATATGATGAACAAGATAATAGAAATCTGAGATAAGGCCACCCTTACGGACTCTGCTTCAATAGTGGTTTAAGCAGAAGTGTTTTTGCAGATCTTTTACTGCAATAAAATGATCATTGAACACACATTGCCAATTTCAAGCCTAAGCAGTTGAGGTTTCATATAAGGCTTTCAAGGATAGAACTAGAGGTGAGAAAAAAATGGTTTTCAGTTTATTTACAATATGTCAAATTGGGTTTTACTTTTTAAGATCCCTGTTTGTAATGGTTTTATATTCACCTTATGTTTAAGAGACATTAGATTGAACACTGTTGATAAAGAAAATAGATGGAGATTTTGTGATCAAATCAATCTAAATAGTAATTATGGCTATAAATTGAAATGTGGTGCTCTAGAGATTTGCGTGTTTAAACAAACTATATGAATATAGTTACAGACTCAGAAGAGTAGCTCAACACTATAAACATAAATCTTCATTCATCTTAAAGATTGATCCCTCTTTGTCAGAAAGCTCCAACACCTATTATCAGAACTGGAAACTGTGAAGCACGTGAAGTGTTATTCAACAGGCAGCAGACCTTGTAAGATACAATTTAATTTTTAATTGGTTAATTTAGTTCCACAAAAATGGAAAGGCCTTAAAGGGTGGTTAAGTAAAGCACAGTAAGAACTCAAGAGAGTATTTGAAACTGAAACTTTTGTGTATAATGTATTTCACTGCCCCAGAGTAGGAACAAGGGCTGCAGTGCATCTTGTTTCCTGTATTTCATTCTGTAATCTTTGTATATACAAATGAACCAGGTAAGAATCAGAAAAATGTTTTTCCAGAGCTTTAAACAAAATATCCTGTCTTTGAAGTTATAGAAAAAAATGTTCCCATTATTACTGCTATTTAACATTTAAATGTAAACATTTAAAAGCATTTGATCAGACCAGCAGAGGTTTTGTTTGGTCTCTCATTATTGTATTTAGCTAACACAGAGAAATAAAAGGTTTTATTTCCCATTTTAAGCATTGTTAATTTTGGTGAAAAAAAACGTAGTTTTGCATTTTCCAAAGTGAACAACAATAATGCTGCTTTGTACAATATTAGTCATAATGTAATCTGTTCCTTTTATTGTATTAGTATTCTCAGTAGTCAGACCTTATTTCATGTTGCAAAACTCATCTCAAGCAGATTTCTTAAAATGGTTGGATTTTTGTATTTTTTATATTTTTACAGACTGTTTTAAACCTGAATTTCTGTGTTTGTGTCACATTAAATTATGTTCTTTTTAATTGTTAAAAAATAGCATGGAGTTCTCAATTGTTTTTTTTTTACTATTTGGTATCTTTTCACAATACTGATAAAGCTAAACACATATTAAATGGAAAATGGATTTCATACATTTGTTCCTGAATTTTTCTTTTCTCTGCAACATCATGTGGTTTTATTTGAATCTCCGTTATTGGCAAATTATGACGTTTTATACTTGGGAAACCTCTTGTTGCATATTTATATGTACACTGAGTGTCAAAACAAACATCACTTTTAACTGCAACAGGTTCACAAAGCAAATGACCATTTGTTGTATAAGGTGCACTGACCTTATGATTTTGTTGAACATACATGCCATCCGTTATGCTAATTGCCATGGACCATCATCCATGGTGTATGGTAAACTGTGAAAGTCACAGACTAGTACCATGTAAGGGTACCTTTGGAAAATATAATGTAGCAGTTTACAGATGCCGTCTTGTGGAATTCTGTCCAATTCCCATTGAGCCTAGAGAAGCAAGTCTCTGTCCACTGTCTCTGAGCTTTAGGAGTTGCACATCATCAGTGAGGTCTCAATGGCAATTATCCTCAGAATAAATGTAATGCTCTAATCTCAGCCTTCAATATCTGAGCAGCACGAAGGTGTGTGTTGAAATGTTGAAAAATAGAGCTCAATGTTCTGGCAGGTCCTCCTGAGGTGTTGCTCTAACATCCTGTACTGATAGATCAAAGGCAGTGTTCTCTTGATAAAATGGGTATATTGGATCCTGTGCTTTTCTTGATTTTCATCAGACATGAGATTTTACAGGTCACAAAACTTTAGCACCTGTGTACCATCAACATTCTAACTTATATTGTGATTTACTGCTTTTTTAACAGTCACTCAGTTATATCACATCAGTTATAAAAATGATTCCAACCACTTAATAATAATAATAATAATAATAATTGCTTAAACTTACATTGTGCTTTTCTGGACACTCCACTCAAAGCACTTTACAGGTAATGGGAACTCCACTCCACCACCACCAATGTGCAGCATTCACCTGATAAGACTCAAGGCTTATCGGTATCTGGACTTAAGCAGTATCCAAATTGCATATATTCTTCTAAAACATACAATCATAAATTGAAACATTTCTTTTGCTGATCAGTATTTTAGCACAGACTTACTGATACTAGAAGGACTTATGATAAACTCACAGGGCCTGATGGTATCTCTACCATTTGTAGATTTCTTAAAGGAATCCAGATGTTATTAATAGACAGCTACTCAAACCAGGGCTAATACCCTGAGACTGGAAAAAGAGCAACAAAACAAATATGACACTTGGAGAATAGCCAACACATACTGTATTTAGAAAAGCTAAGTTGTTGACATGCTGGAGTTCTTTGAGCAAATATTAGCAATAATGGATAGAAGTGGAACATAAGATGCATATTGTGAGAATACACATTCTCAAAAAAGATTAAGGATTCTTATTTGCGTATCATGACATGTACAGTACAGTTAGTGTAAATTAAGACATTTGGATTGAGCACCATTTAATGGACATAAAACAGTATAAGAGACAAATACTTAAATTGAAGTGAGAATAGAGTAACACAGGGTTCATTAGTAGGATAGCTGTTAGTCCTAATTTGTATTAATGATATACATTCAAATATGATTTGTAAATTGACAAGGCTGATAGTTACATATAAATATCAAAAACTATAAAACCACTTTTTCTAAGTGCTTCATCCAATTAAGGGTCACTGGGGACCTAGAGCCTATTTTAGCAAGCAATGGCACAGTACACCCTGGATGGGATACCCATCTATCGTAGGGCACACACAGACAAACACACACACACTCGCACCAGGGCCAATTTTCATAGGAGCCAATTAAACTACAAGTATGTCTTTGGACTGTGGGAAGAAACCCGAGCACCCAGAGATAACCTTCATGAACCTAAGAAGAACATACTTGAACTTGAACTTTATTGCTATATGTAACCAGTACACGTAATGGTTCAATGGAATTCTTACTTATAGAAAGTCTTTCGATTGTTAAAACAAGTGTAAAAACACAAAGTGCAGACAGTGCATCAAGACAATATACAAACAAACAGTAGACAATGTACAAGTAAATACTTTGAATCTACACAATGCAGACATTTAAACAATGATTGGAGATGTGCAATAAATAAGAAATCATAATGAGGTAGATGGTGTAGAAGTGGTCCGAGGGGCATGGCTAAATGTGTCCGCCAATCGCACTGCTTGTGGATAGAAGCTATTGAAGAATCTATTGGTAAGTGTCCGTATGCTCTTGTATCTCTTGCCTGAGGGCATCGGAGAGAAGAGCTCATGCCCGGGGTGGTAACTGTCCTCTGTGATGGCCAGAATTCTACCACGGCAGAGGTCCTCATAGAGCTGTTTAATCTCGGTGAGATCACAGCCAATGATCTTCTGGGCCACATTCACCATTCTCTGCAATGTCTTTCTCTCTCAAGAAGAGGTGTTGCCGTACTACACAGTGATCACGTTGGTGAAGATGATCTCGATGGTACAGCACCAACAGAAGTTCATCAGCACATCCCCCATCATTTGAGGCACCTCAAGAAATAAAGGTCCATGCAGATAGCACCCCAGGTCTGGAAGTGAACCCAGGGTCCCAGCACTACAAGGCACTACTATGCCACCCACCAACTATAAATAAAATGGGGAAATGCTGAACTGTCCAGGTAAAGAGTTCACTAATGAGTACTCTTTCATGTCCTTCTATATGCCAGGTCATTTTGTAGAACAAAAATTAAAACAGTGAGGATTTTCTTGCTGATATTGCAGTGGTTGTGTAAGCACAATATATGTGTGATATTTTCCTCAAGTCTTTAGGCCCCGTTTTGCTCCCACTCTACAATTGGTTGGACCTTTAAGACAGGTGATGTGTCAGGAGTACATTACTACCACCAGTGGATTACACACAGCCACTGAGCTTTCTGTTCCATTAAGAGTTTACCTGGGCCTGGGAAAAGAAATCTGGAGCTGATGGTCCAGCCATTTATACTGAATGTTTTTCCTTTTGAGTGGGATGTAACTTGTATAAAAGAAGCAGAAAATACAGAATGGCTAGCAGCACGTGTCAAAAAGACCAGCTCTGTAGATAAGAGGTTTGGCCTTTCATAGTTCTCTCTCAAACTGAATAAGCAAGAATATCATGACATGAGTAAATGTTGCACTATACAAGCCAAAGTTGCAGCAGTTTGGGCCTACTATTGGAGAACTGAGGCCTAAAAGAACAATATGGTGGTACAGTGGTTAGTATTGCTGCCTCACAGTGTTGGGGCTCTGGATTCTTTAGAATAATCTTTAGACCCAGATTATTATGCGACAGACTATCAAGATGATCAATTTGTGAACATGTGAGCAAGTAATGTGTTCAGAAATTTTCTGATACAACATTTTTTCTAATTAAACTAACCACGTAAAAAAAAACCCTCAGAAATAACTTAAAGTCAGCTCTTACCATTGTTAAGAACCACGGCCAAATGTAGAAAATGGCAAGACATATAATTGCTGATAAGTCAGTGTAACCAGTGCGGGATTTCCTATTAGGGCCTACGGAATTTTTAGGGCCGAAGGAGGGAAACACTAGTACTAACGAAAAATGAACTGAAACAACATGCGTTGCAACAATTGTGATCATACGCTATCTAGCAGCTTTTCTAGAAACCAGAAGTATCGAACTGATGGTCGCCTAACCCGTTCCACAATCATGTGGTTTAGCATTATAATAGTTTAAAGTGTATCATGTCAATCGACATAATTCAGTTGTCGTTACCCCTCTTTTTGCACATTTCGGCCTGAAAGTGCCTAGGGCTTACGAACACCAAAATCCGGCCCTGAGTGTGACTGTGTTTAAAATCTAAATAGGTGGCAATAGGAGGGAAGAAAAGTTACAAACAGGAGGAGGGTATTTGGACCATTTATCTCACATGGTTGCAATAGGTAATTCATGTGAGGATCACATTAAGCAATTTTCTTAAATGAAGCTAGAGTACCAGCTTCAACAATATTGTCTGGGTTTCTTGTTTCAGATTCCCTCTGTGTAAACAGTGCCTCCTGTTATCAGTTTGAAATGCACTTCCCCATACTTATAGCTATATATATATAGTTATGGGTCCTAGTTTGTTTTTCACTTTTGATTCGGAAGAAGTCCATTAAGCTGAATTTGTTAATGCCTTTGATGATTTTGAATACTTGAATTAAAAACCTTACTGTACTGTCTTACTGTAAATAGCTAAAGAGACTCAGCTCATTTAACCTGTCATTGTTGAATATTCTATTAAGCCTGGGAATGTATGTGGTTGCTTCTTGTCTGGATTAATTTCAGAACAGTAGCATATTCCTAGTAACATGATGACCAAAATTTGTGGAGAGTCAGAGAAACAGATTTAATTTTAACCCTGTGAATCTGTAAAATACAAAAATGAAACACATTCATTTTGATGGAAATAAGGAAGGTACAATGTACTTAATTGATATAAATACTCATTGAACAGTTTTTTGAGTTTCATCTAAAGAGCACCCCTCTAAAGATTTTCAGAATGGGAATAGAGGAAAAAGGAGCAAGTTATTTTCTTTTAGCATCCTATATAATAAATATAGTGTATAAGGTTTTGGGTCAGTATGTCAATAAAAACAACATTTAATGATTGGTAGCTTAGTGCTCTGTTTCATTTTCCACAAGCTCTACCAGGACCGAGTGACCGAGTAACCGAGCGGGATAGATGGATGCAGTGACTACCAATCACATACATATGGTTAAGAATATCAGAATGTGCCCAAGAGGATTGTTAACTAGTTAATAGAAGAGAGCAAGGGATCTGGATTTGTACATTAGTGGCCTCTGCTGGCTGTACCTTTGGGATTACACCATACCTGGGCTTCTGCTGTGCCCTGCTTTCTGTACTTGGGACAATCTGCAATAGAATTGCAGAATACAATGTATTTTTAAATGTGTTGTGCAGTTGATTTTATAATCATAATTAATTTTATTACTTTATTAGTTTTTTAAATATGAGGGCCATAAGCATGAAATAATTCCTGCAATACAAGGAAGTTATTTTATTTTTTATTTG